TCAGGGGGAGCCATGGAGAACAATGCGTAGGGTAGCTACATTTGAGGAGCAGAACAAAGTCTAGTTAGGGTAGCGGACAGGTCCAAACTCAACCAAACCCCTGCCATGGGGTTGATTCCGACTCATCGTGACCCTCTTCAGCAGTGGTGCTCAACCTTCCTAATGCCGTGACCCTTTCCTCATGTTGTGGTGACCCTCCCCAACCATACAATCATTTTCATTACTACTTTATAACTGTAATTTTGCTACTGTTATGAATCGGGCCAACCGTGTAAAAAGGTCATTCAACCCCCAAAGGGGTCACAACCCACAGGTGGAGAACCACTCCTCTATAGGGTTTCCAAGGCTGTAAAATCTTTACGGGGGTAGACAGCTTCATCTTTCTCCCAAGGAACAGCTGGTGGGTTGGACCTGCTAACCTATGCACGGCAATCCAACACTTAGCAAACAGTGCCACCAGGGTTCCTATTGGATAGGAGAGGTTCCTCAGCTGTCCACTCAGAGGACCCATAAGCACTTTGAGGATGTGCAGGGTCAAACCTTGCCTTTAGATGGAGAAGGCTCACATCTGGACCTGATTTGGAGTCTACCACCCATCATCCAGAAATTATGGACAATGATCTTGATACGGTAACTGAGTGAGTATTAAGGCTTTGTCTTCCTTGAGAAAAGAGTAAGAGAATTTGGTCTGCGGGAGGACAGTGAGCCGAACATTTGGTGAACAGAAAAGGAAACAGTCATTAGTGCTGTTCCCCAAATATTCCTGGCTCTCTCCTTTTAAACCATTTGTCAGGGCTAAAAAGATCTGAAGTTAGGCAGGGCCATGAGGTTTGCTTTGGCCAATGACATAAGAGCAGAAGTGATGTGTGTCATTTCCAGGTGGATGTGCTGAGAGCCAGTGGAAGAGCATAAGTTACCAAGCTCTCGCTGTTACCCTCCCCGGCCCTACTCCCACTGATGATCATGAGAAGTACATACCAGGAGGAAGCCTTCTTCCATCTGAGGGACTACTGTGAGCAGTTCCCCAGCAGACCCACATTGGACAAGTCGCATGAGCAAGCACTAAATTTTCGTTGCAACTCAGGGAAAGCCACAGAGTTTACTCATTCACTGCCATCAAATTGATTCTCACAGCAACCCCACAGGACAGAGAAGAACTGCCCCTGTGGGTTTTGAGACTGTATATCTTAATGGGAGTAGAGAAGCTCATCTTTTTCCTCAAAGAGGCTAGTGGCTTTGAAGGGTTGCCCCTGTGGATAGCAGAGCTTCTTACTGAGATGTTAGGGTTGCTAATTATGGCAGCATAAACTCAGCCCCTCCTGGCTGTTGCTGTGAGTGAGAGATGAGGCTGAAGAGAGCAGGGGTTACATTGTGAAAGGCCCCTCCTAAGCAAGGAGTCTGTTCCCCCCCCCCAAAAAAAAGCTCCCTGCTGTGCAGTCAATTCCAACTAATAGTGACCCTATATAGCACAGAACTACCCCACAGTTTCCAAGGCCATAAATCTTGAGGGAAGCAGACTGCCATCTCTTTCTACCATGAAGCAGCTGGTAGGTTTGAACCACCAACCTTTCAGTTAGCAGCCAAGCACTTAACATTGAGCCACCAGGGCTCCCTCTCCTCCAGTCAGGGGAAACTAATGCAGGCTTCCATACAGGGCCATTACCATGAACAGATTTGTTATTTTAGGGATGAAATGTGGCATTTCTCAACATAAGGAGAAAATCAGCCTACTAAATCCCATAAGGCAGAGAGGAACACACGGAACCCTTAGGCAAAAGATATATGTTTATCCAAAGTCCAGAGTCTTAAAGTTTCTAAATAGGAGAGCTCTGAGTTACATTCAGAGGATTTGACAAGACAACTCCCCACTCTCCCACAAGCCCCATTTCCTCTGTGGAAACTTCACTAGAAAGTTTACCCAGGTCTGTCTGGATAGGACAGGCTGGATGAACAATCTGGAGGAGAAAACAACGGGACTGACAGTTCCAGGGGACATGGGAGAGGGGGAGGTGGGGGGAAGGGAAGAGGTGTTAACAAACCCAGGGACAAGGGAACAACAAGCAATCCAAATTGGTGGGGAGGTGGGTGTGGGAGACCTGGTAAGGGCATGATCAAGGGGAATGTAACAAAGAGGAATTGGTGAAACCCTGGTGGGGACTGAGCATGATAGTGGGACAGGAGGAAAGTCAAGGGAAATAGAGGAAAGAGCTGGGAATGAAGATAAAAGGTGGGTGAAGTGCAGGCTGACACCAGTTGCTGTCTGCTGTTGACTCTGCCACAAGTACCTTAAAGCTGGAACCCCAAACTGAGTTCCCCCAAGTACAGATGCAGAAAAGAATAAGAACCCAGGGACTTCAACCCCCTGTCCCAGTCAGAAGGCCTGAAATTGAATTGACTTCTAACCCTAACCTTCACCTCCTCCCCACTGTCCTCACACAGTGCTCTTATACACTTTTGCACCCTGACAGTCCATCCTCCTCTTAGGGGACACAGGGAAACTTGGGAGAAAAGGCAGTGGTGGCTTGGCGACCACCACCTTCACTGGGGCAAAATGCTCCGCTCATTCCTGGGCTCCTGTGCGGGAGATTTCACCAGGCAACATGCAGACGAGGTAAATGAGACACAGGAACGTTCACGGACTGCTCACTTCACACGGTGGCAGCACGCGGAGAACTCTCACTCTCGGTCCGACTTGTGTTCTTCCCACCATACCCTTGTCCCGAAGTGTCGGGGAGGGAGGGGGCGGGGCGGATAAATAACAACCGCAGCCAAGAACCACTTCTATGTGTCTGGCGCTGCCTAGAGGCGGCACAGTGCATGCGCCCACCGCTCGGTGGGGAGCCAGGGATTTTAAATTCAGATTCTACGCCTGGATCTTTGTATGATTTTGGGGGGCCCGTGTCTCTGCGGCTCTCGGCACTTGTCACCCCCCACCGAAGCAAATCTGGGTGGAGTGTGTGTGTGTGTGGTGTGTGGTGTGAAGTGGGGGGGAAATGGGGTTTAGGGTGGGGGGTGTAGTATAGATCACCCGGATCCTCAGGATTTCGGATTCCCTAAATGCTCATTCCCCACTGGAAGCTGAGTTGCCGCCTAATTCTTCCCCTATGAAAACTTCACCACCGAGGCCAAACTGTAAATTCCCTCCACCCTCTCCCCTGGGGTCCCCGGAGGGTGAAGTGAAGTGCAGCCGGGACCAAGCGCAGCGCCCGATTTCAAGCAAAGCAAATCACTCGGCTCGGAGCGCAAGAACCAGACTCGGAGGGGACCGTCGCTTATGAACTTGACCGACAAACTTCCGAGCGTTGTCAACTTGGGGTCGGGGAAGGGGCACCCCCAGGCGATCGGCCCTAAACTTAAGCCCACTTTCACCCGCCACGAGAGGACTTAACAGGGCCACCTTTAAGGGCGGCGCTCCTGTCCCCCGGAAGTGCGAGGGGGGGTGACCGACGCGGGCTCTCAGACTCCCAGCCCCGCACGGCGGCCGGACGCGCTCGGGCGACTCCGTGCCTCCCAGGTGGGGAAACACCACACACGACTCCGCTCCTTCGACCCCAGACCACCAGCCGGCCCCCCAGCCTTCCGGATCCCCACGTCGCCCGCAACTCGGGCCTAGTCCTGAATTGGAACCCGCCTCCGTCGGAGGCTGAGAGCGTCCGCCGCTCTCGCAGCCACCGTCACCAGACAGACAAACCCCAAGACGTCAGCCCACAATGCACCGGGCGGGCCGGGAAAGACTGGCCCGGGAGAGTTGGGGGAGAGAAGCGGGGGGAGCCGTACCGGAGGGGGAAGGGGAGAGGAGGAGAAAGAAGGGCCCAACTGTAGGAGGGCAGCGGAGCATTACCTCATCCCGTGAGCCTCCGCGGGCCTGGAGAAGAATCTGCCAGGGTGGGGTCTCCATGGCGACGGGCGGGCCCGCCCCCCAGAGAGCGACACGAGCCAATGGGAAGGCCGTGGGGTGACATCATGGGCTATTTTTAGGGGTTGACTGGTAGCAGATAAGTGTTGCGCTCCGGACTGGATAAGGGCTCAGAGTTGCACTGAGTGTGGCCGAAGCAGCGAGGCGGGAGTGGAGGCGCGCGGACTCCAACACACACACAGACAGGCAGACCGACCGACAGTCTGTCAGGAAGGCACTAGAGTTTGGACTGCAAATCTTCCTTTTTCCATCTTCTCATCAACTGCTCAGAGCCAGCGCCTGTGGGTTCCGGCTGGTGTTTGGGGGCAGCGCCCGGTGAGCCCCTTCTCCAGCTGTCCGCGGGAGGAGAACACCGCTGCCCGGGCGCTGACAGCCGCCGAGAGCGGAGACTGCCTGCAGGCTGGGGGAAATCCAGCGAGCGACGGCAGCGGCCAAGAACTTTACCAGCCCAGAGGAAAGGGGACAAGTGGCCCCGGGTCCCGGAGCGAACTTTTGCAAACCTCTCCTCCTGAAGCGGCCGCGGCGGCGGTAAAGGAAGGAGGCGCCGCGAGAGGAACGAAGAGGCGGGACGCGCGCCCAGCTTCGCGGGCAGGACTTGCTGAACTTGGGGGAGCGCGAGCCGCGGCTGCCAGGCGCCCCCTCCTCTCCCTCGCAGCAGAGGAGGGGACAGTCGCCGGAGTCGGGGCGGCCGCGACCGGCCACCGGCCCGCCACTGCCGAGTGTGCGCCCGCTCCGCGGCCCCGCCGGGAGAGCCGCTGCCAGCCCCCAGGAGGCGAGTCGGTCCTTGGAGCGGCGGCGCCTGCCCCGCGCTCCGTGAGTGACCGCGACTTTTCAAAGCGGGGTCGCGCGGGCGAGCGGACCTGGACCGGTGCCGGCAGCGTCTTAACCCTGCGCTCCCCGGAGCGCGCTGGTGAGCAGGGAGCGGCGGGGCGAGCCAGCCGGCGGGCGCGCGCGCTCGCAGAGAAACTTTGGTCGCCGGAGGCCGCGGGAGGCGCGGGAGTGCCCCGCTGGCCCGCGCGCTGTTGGAGCCCCGAAACTTGTGCGCCCAGCCCCAACACACCCCACGAGAAGGGACGGGCTGTTCTATGACTGCAAAGATGGAAACGACCTTCTACGACGATGCCCTCAACGCCTCCTTCCTCCAGTCCGAGAGCGGCGCCTATGGCTACAGCAACCCCAAGATCCTGAAGCAGAGCATGACCCTGAACCTGGCCGACCCGGTGGGCAGCCTGAAGCCGCACCTCCGCGCCAAGAACTCGGACCTGCTCACCTCGCCCGACGTGGGGCTGCTCAAGCTGGCGTCGCCCGAGCTGGAGCGCCTGATCATCCAGTCCAGCAACGGGCACATCACCACCACGCCGACCCCCACCCAGTTCCTGTGCCCCAAGAACGTGACCGACGAGCAGGAGGGCTTCGCCGAGGGCTTCGTGCGCGCCCTGGCCGAACTGCACAGCCAGAACACGCTGCCCAGCGTCACGTCCGCGGCGCAGCCGGTCAGCGGGGCGGGCATGGTGGCCCCGGCGGTGGCTTCGGTGGCGGGCGGCAGCGGCGGCTTCAGCGGCAGCCTGCACAGCGAGCCGCCGGTCTACGCCAACCTCAGCAACTTCAACCCGGGCGCGCTGAGCGGTGGCGGCGGCGGCGGGGCGCCCTCGTACGGCGCGGGCGGCCTGGCCTTTCCCGCGCAGCCCCAGCCGCCGCCGCCGCCGCACCACCTGCCCCAGCAGATCCCGGTGCAGCACCCGCGGCTGCAGGCCCTGAAGGAGGAGCCGCAGACGGTGCCCGAGATGCCCGGGGAGACCCCGCCCCTGTCCCCCATCGACATGGAGTCCCAGGAACGAATCAAGGCCGAGAGGAAGCGCATGAGGAACCGCATCGCCGCCTCCAAATGCCGGAAAAGGAAGCTGGAGAGGATCGCCCGGCTGGAGGAAAAGGTGAAAACCTTGAAGGCGCAGAACTCGGAGCTGGCGTCCACTGCCAACATGCTCAGGGAACAGGTGGCACAGCTTAAACAGAAAGTCATGAACCACGTTAATAGCGGGTGCCAACTCATGCTAACGCAGCAGTTGCAAACGTTTTGAGGCGAGACCGTCGGGGGCTGAGGGGAAACGGAGACAAACAAACAACACCGAGAGACAGACTTGAGGACTTGACAAGTTGCGAGAGGGCGAGCGCGAGAGACGAGCAGTGTCGGAGGACTAAAGCCAAGGGTATCCAAGTTGGACTGGGTTGCGTCCTGACGGCGCCCCCAGTGTGCACGAGTGGGAAGGACTTGGCGCGCCCTCCCTTGGCACGGAGCCAGGGAGCCGCAGCCTGCGGGCCGCCCCGCTTTACAGACGGGCTGTCCCCGCCGCGCGAACGGAACGTTAGACTTTTTCTTTAACATTGACCAAGAACTGCATGGACCTAACATTCGATCTCATTCAGTATTAAAAGGGGGGAGGGGGAGGGGTTGCAAGCTGCACTAGAGACTGTAGATTGCTTCTGTAGTAGTCCTTAAGAACACAAAAGGGGGGAGGGGAAGCGGGAGGGCGGTTTGCAAGAGGGAAGCTGAGCCTACAGAGGAACTCTTTCTGGCCTGCCTTCGTTAACAGTGTATGTACATATATATATTTTTTAATTTGATGAAAGCTGATTACTGTCAATAAACAGCTTCATGCCTTTGTAAGTTATTTCATGTTTGTTTGTTTGGGTGTCCTGCCCAGTGTTGTTTTGTAAATAAGAGATTTGGAGCACTCTGAGTTTACCATTTGTAATAAAGTATATAATTTTTTTATGTTTTGTTTCGGAAAATTCCAGAAAAGGATATTTAAGAAAATACAATAAAATATTGAAAAAGTACTTCCCCAACCTCTTTTCTGCATTATCTGTAGATAAAGTGGTGGTAAGAGAGTTAAGGGCGTGAATGAAAATCAGTCTCAGCGCTGCTTACCGCCAAGCAGTAAAAACTATTCTCTGTTGGACTTTAGAAAACACTGTGGCTGATGCTATCATCGTTATACTCTCTCCCCGCCCCCAACTTTCTACGTGGAATTGCTTACCAGAGGACAGTGTGTTTCCAGGGGCTGGGGGAAGGGCAGGTGATCATTGGAGTGGGCCTGTCCTGCTGGGAAAGCAACACTCATTAGCGTTTGAGATCATATTAAGTGGGATATGCTGTGACCATCTATAATCTTAGTAGAGATTTTACAGTCGATACATATTCTCGAAGCAAACAACTAGTAGCAGATTTTACAAAAGATGTATTCTTCCAATTTGGAATCGTGAACAATTCCTAGATTTAAAAAAGATGGCCTTGCTTATGCATATTCATAACAGCATTCTTGTCACAATAAATGTATTCAACTACCAATGACAGATCTTGAGTTGGCTTCCCTTTACTATTGTCTGCCCCATCTGTATGGGGCAGTCCCCAGGTTGCTTCTGAGTGTCTTTAAGAATTTGTAGATAAATGGGAACAGGTGGCTAAGGTGGTCCTCTAGATTTACTTCAGTCGAGTTAAAGGCTTGAAGTCCTTTCAATAATTTGAAAGCTGCACACAGCAAGTTAAGGTGATTGTGATGAAGCATTTGTGACAAGCAGAGAGAGGTTAGTCCAATCATTTCAAAGTGAGGGCAAATTTACATGACATTAAAGGGCAAGCAGGAATTGGCCTACATCTGAAGTTCCTAACCAGGGGCTGTCTATATACTGAAGTGTTGGGGTTTTCTTGTTTGTTTGTTTGTTTTCAGTTGCCGGCATTGACGTGACTACAATTTAAAATTAGTAATTAAGAAGCAAAGACTTTAGGAAGTTCACCCAGAAGTTGTAATCACAAATTACCTGGATGAAACCTCAATTTCATCAGTCCCGTAAGCCACAATACTATAGACATGTTATATAAAATCTTTTTTGAAATAAATACCTATGCCTAGGGAAAATACTAGTATAGCAGTTTCAGTTTACCATTTGGATCCTTTTATAGTTCTTAAGTTGTTTCTAAAATAATCAATGCCTGTTTAAATAATTAATATAGAATCAGTCTCAAGAGAGGGCAAACTGGATGCTATGGGAAAGATTGGCCAGAGAAAACATGAACATCCATACAATGAATACGTAAGTCAATCAAACCTCAGCTCTGGGGACATCGCAAGCAAATTCTGACGACAGATAAGAACTTCGAAGATCAGTAAGGCAGCCCTCAACAAGGGAACGATTTTTGCTTGCTTGTTTTTCATCCCAAGAGCCAGTATGATTATCAGGCAGCAAAAGCAATTTGATATCCAGGAATATTTCACAAACCACTAATTGAGGCAGGGCTGTTGCTCGTTAGCAGTGTTCTACAACCCAACAGGTCTGGGAGCAATAATAATATCTCTCTGCCTGTGGCTGCAAATCCTAATAGACAAAGAGTTTCTCCTTAGGAATACATCCAGGAGTCAAGGAGATTGGACATGGTGCAGTTAGCTCTCAGATATACCCCACTGTAATAACACTTCTTTCACAAAGGGTTACTGGAAGCAATCGAGTTTGCCAAACAGTGAATTTGCCGATGTCAGCAACCCGGAAGGTGCGTTGATTTTGACCATATGTAGGAATAGTTAGCAGAGGGACAATAAAGCACTTTGGGGTGGGGCTCTGTGTAAGCTAAACAAGAGCCAACTAGAAAAAATAAGCAGGCTGGGGAATTAATTACCTGCAAAAGTAGACTAAGCCCAGACAACACCGCAGTACAGAAAAGCCACACCCCTCCCCAGTTTGCTTTAGTCCCAAGTGTTTAAAAATTAGAGAAAAGGGGGGCAGGGAACAGTTTTGAAACTCAGGCTTTCCCCATATTTGGTAGTTTCAACTAACCCTCTAAATGCATATCTCTGAAATTTTGACCATTCTCTGGCCAGAGTAGTGGGGGAAGAGGAACAGGGAGGAATAATTGTAGTAGAGGAAATTAATGAATAGCCTGAAAACTTTGGTGACAGAAATTAGTAAATAACTTCTATTCAATGGTTAATTTTATTATAGGCATTGAATGAGTTCTTCTTTGGGTAACACTGATAGTTGGAGAGGACGAAGCCTTTGCCAATAAAATCATAAATCCTCTCAATTTCTCAAGCTAGAAAGATATATACTGTAAGACCTCCCAATGAAAGGATTATATATTTTAAAGAGTCATAGAAAATAAAAGATATTTAATAAATAATGCAATCAGGAATTCTTAATGTTCTGTGTCCATTGTCTGAGAGGGTTCATGAACTTCATGCAATTGTTTACACAATGTGTGCCTGAGTGTGTGCACTTTCCTGGGAGAAGAGACCATTAGCTTTTATTTGGTTCTTACAGTGCTCCACGACTCAAAGCCCAAAGCTAATAAGCCCTGAGTTGAATGGATAAACACCTACTATCAGAAATTTGAATTTCATGCCACTCCCCTATGCATTTGGGTTTGCTCATCCCTCTGTCTGAAATATTCCTTCTGGTTCAATTGATTCATTCTACTGATTCTTCAGGGCATAGGGCTTTGCCCAAGATTTACCTTCTATTGAAAGCTTTCCTTGCTGAATCCAATTTTCATAAACCCCCACTGAAGATCCCTGTGGCATAGTGGGTTACAAGTTGGGTTGCAAACCTCAAAGTCAGTGGTTCAAAACCACCAGCCACTGTGCAGGAGAATGATGAGGCTGTCTACGCCTGTAAAGAGTTACAGTCTCAGAAAGCCACACAGGCAGTCCTACTCTGTCCTATCGCTTCACTATGAGTCAGAATTGACTAGGGGGCTTGAAGCATCCATACATTTTTGGTTAAACTTTTCTGACAGTACTTACTGAAATGTATTATAGTGATGTCTCCTATCCAGAACCCTATCCTACTCATCTATATATCACCAGACACCTAGTACACTGCTTGACACATGGTTCATAAAGGTAGATGCTTGGGAACTAAGTGAACAATTGAGCTTACACCCTCCTTAAAATAACCCAAGGTCTTAATTTCTTCTTGTGAGATATGCTTCATCTCTTTTGACTTGTACAACTCCAGATGGATGGGAGACTTCTGAGGCTGTAACTGTTCACGGGACTAGAAAGCCCGGTCTTTCTCCCTTGGAGCTGCTGGTTATTTCAAACTGCCAACCATGCAGATGAGAGTCTAACTAGTTACCTCTCCACTACCAGGAATTAGGTGTTACCAAAGTCATGCTTCCTGCAGTCACACACAACCTCGCTTCTCTCTTCCATTAATGCAAATGGTTGTCTTCTTATATCACACTGTTCTGCCTGAAGCATTGGGCTTGGAGGGAGGAGACAAGGAAGGATAATATGTGTACCATTAAGCAGGCACAAAAAACAATACCAGATGTGGCTTTATTAAAAACAACCAGCACTACCACTACTAATGGCACAGGGGACTTTCTCTTTGCAAACATAGACTTATTTCAGGGAGCCAGAAGTCAGTATCCAAAGTTTGCTTGACAGAGACAAGGATCAGGCTAATCTCTGTTCCTCTCAATGTTAGAGAGGCTGGGCATCAGATGGACCAAAGGACTAATCACTGCCTTCTAGTCTGCCCTGCCCTGACTTCACCCCCCACCTCCCCATGGGTCGTGTCAATATCTTTCAAGAATGTCACCTGCGCACATTCACTGCCATGGAGTTGTGTCTTACAGTGACCCTACAAGGACCAAGTAGAACTGCCCTTATAGGTTTGTGAGCTCATAAATCATTACGGATGCAGAAAGCTCCATCTATCACTCTTGGAGTGGCTAGCGGGGTTGAACTGCTGACCTTCAAGTCAGCAGCCCAACGTGCAATCCATTATGCTGCAAAGGCCCCTGGAATATAGCCCTACTTATTTATTTTAGACTAGGTAGTGCCTCCCCTTAGACACGCCAGAGAAGGGCATTCCGCTGGACTGTCTTTAAAGCCCCTGTGCTAGACTGTGTCAAATCGCAAATGGGCTCAGCTGCTAACTGAAAGATTGGCTGTTGGAAGCGACCCCAAGCTGACTAGGAGGAGAGGCCTGGTGATCTACTTCTGAAACATTAGTCATTGAAAACCTTGTGGCGTACAGTTGTCCTCTCACCTACCCATGAGTCCAAGTTGACGCAAGAGCGATGGGTCTTTTCTGTTGTTTTGTTTAGTTAGGCTACATTGTGGGGCTTCAGTGGTGAGCAGAACACAATCCCCGATTGTCAAGGAAACTGTTGAGTACAGAGATAAGCCGAAACTGGTCTAAGGCCACATCAGGAAAGATGACACTGCGCTAATCCAGTGAGACTCGCCTGGCCAGAAGAGTAAGTGAGAAGAACTGTGTGCAAAGAAAAGCAGAGAAGCACGAGAAAGCGTGGTATGTTTAGGGACAGGTAAGCTGCTTAAGAGGAGTCTGGTGGTGTAGTGCTTAAAGCGTTGAACTGTGAACCAAAAGGTCAGCAGTTCAAAACCACCAGCAGTTCTGAGGGAAAATGATAAGGCTTTTCATATCTGTAAAGAGTTAGTCTTGGAACCCACAAGGGCATTTCTAACCTCTCCTACAGGGTCACCATGAGTCGTAATTGACTCGATGTCAATAGTTTGGTTTTGGAAGCTGTGTAAAGCACCTAGAAATTAAGGTGTAAAAGGAAAATTGGAAGGAAATGAATCAGGAAAAATTTTAAAGGGTCAAGATTCGAAGGAACCTCTATTGCATGATAAGAGTTTGGTTGTTGTTCTAGAGATAATAGGAAATTATGGAAGGATTTGAAACAGAATAGAAATATACACAGTCTTGTGCTGGCATCAGTTTGGGTGGGGGTGGGAGTGGGGGGTG